AGCAACCTATATGTCCGCTGACAGATGAATGAATAAAGATGTGGTACATATATACAGGGGAGTATCACTCAGCCATAAAAAAGAATGAAATAAGGCCATCTGCAGCAACATGGAGGGACCTAGAGATTATCATACTAAATGACGTAAGCCAGACAAGAAAAATATAATATCATATGCTATCACATGAGGAATCTCAAATATGATAAAAATGAACTTATTTACAAAACAGAACAAGAATCACAGACATAGAAAACATAGGTATGGTTACCAAAGGGGAAAGAGGGGGAAGGATAAATCAGGAGGTAGGGCTGAACATACACATACTACTATGTACAAAACAGATAAACAACATGACCTACTATATAGCACAGGGAACTCTCAGTATTCTGTAATAACCTAGATGGGAACAGAATCTGAAAAAGAACAGATACATAACTAAATCACTCTGCTGTACACCTAAAACTAACACAACATTGTAAGTCAACTATATTCCAACATAAAATTTTTAAAAAATTTAGAAGATACTCAGTAAATTTAGTCCATTCCCATGATCTTCACCCAAAACTCTCAACCCACTCCTGGAATAAGATTAAGGCCTATTTTCTTATTGGTACAAGAGGAATGGCCTCCTCTTGGCATTTATCTGAGGGTCTCATGGGCTCTGCAGATGCTCTTATGGGCCAGGAGTCTGCCAGTGGCTTCTGATGCTAACTGTGGTAGAAACCCATCTCGGTGGTTCTGTCCATGTCCCTACATTGTGATGTTTTTTAATCCATACTGTGCAAATGAGAAACTGAGGCTTAAATCAATGAAATAATTCATCAAATACATACAACCTGTCTACAGAAGAGTACAGCGACACTGTGGGCTGACTAGACAAGGGGCCCTGCCTTCAGGGAGCTCTTCTCTCTGCTGAACTGGGTTTCTGTTCCACCCAATCCAGTCACTAAAGCACACCTGCTAACATGCATCAGAGGATGGCCTGGGAGTCTGTACTCAGCACTGTGGGTTGTTGCTGTTTATTTCATGACTTAACTTGGAAGCATTCCCTGAGAACAGATGTTAGATTTGGGGTTGAGGAGAACATGACCTGTCTCCCATATATTTCCTGTGTGTCTGGGTGGGGTGGAAAATATAGATCCTCACACCTCCACTGAGTTCTTAGTGTGTTCAGAGTGGCCCAATCTTCTTTTCCCCTTCCATCTTTTCTCCATCACTCACAGGGAGTTAATGTGAGACTCCTGGTGAGGCTGACTCCCGCCACCCAGTGAAGGAAGAAGGGAGTTGGTCTTTGAGTGGAGCAGGCCCACCTTTTCCTTGCCTCTCGCTTCTTCACAAACAAGTCAAGACTCTGGTGCTGGCCAAGGAGGGGTCCAAAGCAGGAGAATTCAGAGGAGAAAGCTGCTTTTTGTTTTTGGTTTTTTTTCAGTTCTACCAGTTTATTGCTACCAACCCATTTCCCTCCACCCTCATGCATGCATGCTCAGTCATGGAACCCCATGGACTGCAGCCCACCAGGTTCCTCTGTCCATGAACTTTTCCAGGCAAGAATACTGGAGTGGGTTGCCATTTCCTTCTCCATGTTTTTTGTTTTTTTTTAAACTAGTGTTATCTTGATAAAGTTTGGCAAAGGATATGGAGAGTCAGACTAAAATGGCAGCCAGGAAGGGATAGAAAGGGACCATAACCTTTTAAAAACCTCAATAGCTGGCAAGTCTTCCATTTCTAATGCAGGCGGATGATAAATTATTCAAATGAAATAATCTGGCTTCCACTCTCCATGGTACAAGCATATTGATTTTCCCATTACTAACCCACAGAGGCTTTCACTGTAAGATGCCAGTGAAACAGAGCAGCACAGTATTTCTGCTTTCGCTTTTTTTACCCTGAATTTTGTTTGCTTTTCCCCAGCCCCCAAAAATGAACTGTTCTTCCAGTCACTTCAGAAAACAATGTAAAGATCCAATATCTACATACACATTCCCCTACTGTGCTCCGGATTTCAGGTAACAAAGGACTGATTCAGACCCTCCCACTCTGTCCCCACACAAGACCATGATTCCATTATCTAGCATGCAGACCAGTGCTTTTTAAAACTTTGATGTGCACAAGAATTACCCGGGGATCTTATTAAAATGCAGAGTCTGATTCACTTGGTGACTGACTGGATAGTGGGCCTTTCTAACAAGCTCCCAGGTGATGCCAGTGCTGCTGGTCATGGATCATTCTTTGGGTAGCAAGACACTAGATGGCCACAAAAACCAGGCATAGTGACCCCTCCTCAAGGTCTAACCTGCACATCGCACCAGTGTCACATCTCTGCTGAAAACCCCTCAGCTGGAAATGCAGATGGCCAACAGGTTCATGAAAAGATGCTCAGCATCGCTAATCATTAGGGAAATACAAGTCTAAACCACAAGAGATATCGCCTCCCATCTGTCAGAATAGGTATCATCAAAAAGTCCACAATAACAAACGTTGCCAAGGGTGTAGAAAAAAAGGAACCCTTGTACACTGTTGACAGGAATGTAAATTGGTGCAGCTACTGTGAAAAACAGCATGAACGTTTCTCAAAAAGTTAAAAGTAGAACTACCGTATGACCCAGCAATTCTACTTCTGCATATCCCCAAAAAACCAAAAACACTAACTTGAAAAGATACATGCACCCCAGTGTTCACGGCAGCATTATTTACAATTGCCAAGACATGGAAATATCTAAATGTCCATCAACAAATGAATAGTAACATATACATTATATATATATAAAATATATATTCACAAGGGAATACTACTCAGCCATTATAAAAAACAAAAATTTTGCCATTAGCATGGATGGACTTGGAGGGCACCGTGCTAAGTAAAATAAAGAAAAACAAGCACTCTATGATATCACTTGCATGTGGAATCTAAAAAATACAACAAACTAGTGAATAAAACAAAAAAGAAGCAGGTTCACAAATACAGAGAACAAACTAGTGGTTACTGGCAGGGGCAGGCAATATAGGGGTAGGGGAGCAGGAAGTAAAAACTATCAAGTGTAAGACAGGCTCATGGATGTATTGTACAACACTGCAATACAGCCAACATTTTGTAAAGACTATAAATTGAAAATAACCTTTAAAATTGTATAAAAATAAAAACAAAACTGCAATCCAAAAATAAAAACCTCTTAGTTGCTTACTAGTAAAATCTATACTCTTGCCTGACATTCAAGACACTACACAAATGGATCCTACCTGCTTCTTCACTTCCTAATATTCCTTTTCCATTGTTCCCATCTTATGACCTATGTCTCAACCAAAGGGAACTATCTGCAGTTTCCTAGACATTCTCTCACTCTGCCTTTATTCTGCTGCTGCTTCCACCCAGAATGTTCTTGCCCAATTCCTTCCGAGCCTAGCTCAAATGCTGCCTCCTCTATGAAGCTCACCATGATGGAAGTCATCCTCCTTCCTCTGACACCATTTTGTACCTACCTCTCTTAGGGATAGTATTACCAGCTTTTTTTTTAATTAAAAAAAAAAAAAAGAACCATAAAGACCAGTCCAGCCTCAATACTGGCTCCAGTTGGGGAAATGTATACAGGGCTCACCACAAGTAGTATGGGCCCAGGTGAGTGCCCCATGCATTTTTTTCTTTTGTCCATGCCCAGCGGCTTGTGGGATCTTAGTTCCCCAACCAGGGATCAAACTTGTGCCCCCTGCAGTGGAAGCCTGGAGTCTTAACCATTAGACCGCCAGGGAAGTCCTGGATATCCTGTACAATGACTTATGGGGACCACGTCTTTTATCTTGTCTATACAATTATCTGTTCCTGACTTCCTTAGGGCAGATTCTTATTTGATTTATTCTTGTAGCCTATAGACATCCAGCACAATGCTCTGTACAACTGGACATATTTGTGTATTTATTGACTTCCTGGGGTATAATTTAAATCAGTAAAATACACTGATTTTAAGTGTACTGTCTACTGAGTTTTACACCCAGGTAGCGCCCATCTCATAGAGATGGGGAACATTCCCATCAGACCAGTCAGTCCCTACCAAAAGCCTCTCCCTAACCAGTGTGGAACTACACATACTTCTGCTAGCCTAGATTTGTCTCTTCTTGACCTTCATCACAAATGGAATCACACCACACGTACTGTTCTATCTTCCTTCTTTCATTCAACATGTTTCTGAGATTTATCCATACTGCCACGTTAGGAACAGTCTCGCAAAGAACTCACTGATGGTGGGAATGGAACCCCTGCTTCCCTGGCCGTCACACCAGCCCAGGTTTCCCCAAGTCAGTGGCGCTTGGACTTTCTAGGCTTACCTGCTGTCAGGCTGCTTAGAAACTATAGAACTCCCTTAAAGCCCTTTCCTGCTGGCACTTCTGCCTCCTGCACACTGCCTTGTGCCTTCCAGTCACTTTCAGCAAGGAGACAGCTCCTGACTGCTTTTCCCACCATCTCCCCCAAACTCCACTGCCCAGCTCCAAGGTTCTGGGCTCCCAGGGAGGGCCCCCATCTGTCAGGAGGAGACATCATCTCCACTCTTCCTTTGCTGTTTTTCTTGAGGCCTAGCTAGAAACACCTGTCCAGGGCCTCTGGCCCCATGTCCTACTGTGGCTCATGTCCACTCACCGCCAGGAGGCACGCGTGACTAGACCTGCCCAAGAGGGAGAGGCTGCGGCTCTGTGGCGCTCCCTGCTGGCTACATCTTAAGGACTCTCAGGTGATCTCACCTGATGATGACGGACCGACTCCCACCTGCCCATGCACATGACGCAAGGATGGTGGCCACCCTTCCTGGCTGACACAGTCACTCCATCTGGTTCTCAACGTGCGTCTGGGTGGACAAGCCCAGGTGCTGCGCCCTCCCATCGCAAGGCCCACCAAGGTCCTGTTCTCACACCTGTAACAACTCTGCCATCATTTAGGTCAGAACCACCACTTCATCATTGCAGACGCCATAACAAATATACCACAGACGATGAGGCTGAGACCAGACACTTACTTCTCACAGCTCTGGGGGCTGGATATCCAGAATCAAGGTCCGGCAGATCCAGTGTCACATGAGCTCTTGTCCTCATCTTCCCACTGAGCCCTCACCTAATGAAGAGCAGAGACAGGCAGCTAGTTCTCTCCTGCCTATTCTTATAAGAGCACAAATCCAATCAGGAGGTCCTTGCTCTGACTTAATCACCCCCTCAAGGCCCCACTCCAAATAGCACCTCATTATCTCATTAGGGATTAGGGTTTCAACATGTGAATCTGGGTGGGGGGCCTCAAGTAGTCTGTAACACATACATTAACACAAAAAGTTGACAGTGCAGTGGCATTTGGCACTTTCTGAGATGCCATTTGCTGGGTATTCTTCCAGGATACCTGTAACTAATCGTGCAAAGACTCCCTTAGTATTGCAGACCTGTGAAGAAAGTAGTAGTATCCCTGTCTCATGGAACTAAGGCCCAGAGAGAATGGTGGCTGTACAGGGCAGGGGTTCCCAACCTCCAGGCCAAGGACAGAACCTCCTGTCAGATCAGTGGTGGCATCAGATTAGAAATAAAGAGCAACAACAAATGTAAGGCACTTGAAACATCCCGAAACCACCCCACCCTACCCCTGGTCTGTGGAAAAACTACCTTCCACAAAATCAGCCCCTGGTGCCAAAAAAGTTTGGAGAGCACTGGTCTAGAGCATAGGCAGATCTCAGATTTAAACCCCGTCTGCCTGCTCCAGGATGGTCTCCTGCTGCTCTGTCACCCTGCCTTCCCATCTGGCTCCTTGAAGGTGAAGTCAATGTCTCTGATCTCATATATCCCATCAATGTGCTTAGAGTGCTGACCACAGAGTCCTTCCATCTCATCACAGCACTTAGGGAAAGGGAGTCAAGAAAGAGAAGATGGCTTCCCTCTCCCGGCAGAGGGGGCCATCAGCACTGTGGTCCTCGCCCATCGGCACCGGCCTCGGCTCTGTGACCAGAGATCTGCAGGATATCAACGAGCCCCATGCAAAAAATATTTTCCATTCCAGGGCTGTTACATACCTTGAATTCCTCCCAACAGTCCTCTGAGCTAGGGTTTTGTTAAAGTGCAAACACTTTAATAAAAGGGAAGGCATCTGGAGTCATTACCTCCTATTGATACTGCAGCCCTTTTGCTCTATGAATGACCCAGTCCAGCCCTAAGACTGCTGGGATGGCCCTGGGACCAATTATTTCAGAAAGAGGAGAAAAATTAGGAGAGTGAATTGTAATTTAGGATTCCACCCAAGGGCCCAGGGCCAAACGAGGGCCTGGAGTGAGTTGCGGCTTCATGAATGTAGTGTGAGGGGGAGGTGGCCGAGTGCTGAAAGCAGCAGAGAGATTTTCCTACTTCAGCATTTTGCCAGACACCTGTGTGGTGGGGCGTGAGAAGACGAGCTTGGGACCAGGCAGGGCAGGGACGGCCAGCCACTAGCTGGGGGTCCCTAGGTCCCCAGGGAAACCACTCGCGCTTTCTGGATCTCCTCCCATTAACCACGAGTCGGGGATTTCAATGCTTCCCTCCAAGGGTCGTGGACAGGAGCCAGTATCTGTCCACCGTGCACGAGGACGGCCCCTCGTGAGCCGCGCCGCCCCCTCCGGGAATTCTGGGCGCTGGGGACGGGCAGGGACCACGGGTGCCCACCTCCCTCCGGCCCCCCCAAACCCTGGGGTTGGACACACGTGGATGGAAGGCCCTCGTGGAGATGGCTGCTATGACTGGTTTGCTGAAGAGACGCCCTCGGGGTTCCAGGAGGGACCAGATGGTTAGTCCAGAAGCTCCAGACACGGGCGGCCCTGGGAAGGCCAACTCCCCAGTGCGGAGTCCCCCTGAGGCCGACTGGACCTTTCATGAGTGGACACATGAGCTACACCACGATCATGGGAAACAGAACCCCGAACACAAGAAGTGGCATCGGGGGCCGTGGAGGGTCCACTCAATTCGTCACCCGCAAAGCCCCTTCACAACTCTCGGGAAATAAAATAGAACCTGGGTGATGAAATAAGAGTCTGACCTTGTTTCCCCTGTGCTGAGTCTAGTCGGCCCACTACACAGGCACCGCGTGGAGAGACCTCGTGCCACACACCTCCGATCAGGAAGCCTGGTGCAAAATGGCGGCCCTACACCTCAGCTCAGGGCCGTGTGCAGAAGCTCCGCCTCCAACACGCAGTTGAAGATGGAGGGGCGGGCCATGTGCAGAGATGCTCCGCCCCCTGTGCCGTGATCTGGCACGGGAGCTGCAGCTGCGCCTGCGCAGTAGGTGAGCACCCCTCCCCTGCTGCCTGCGATTGGATCCCTACAGAGCAGCCCCACCCATGGCCTGACCCAAGAGCACGTGCTGTAGAGCCTCCTTCTATTGGCAGGAGGAGCCTTGTTAGGGCCAGACTGAATAGGGTGGGCAATGAGACTCAGGTGGAATGTTAGAAGTGATGTGGGAAGTTTTCTTCCACAGGAGAGACTAGGATGTCCCCAGAGGAGCCCAACCCTGAGAAACCAAGCTGCATCCACGGTCAATGTGGCAAAGTTCTATTGTCTGAGAACCCTCCAGAGTGGGCTTTTTAGCCAAGGGGGAGGTAAGAGAAGAACCGCCCAGCAGCAGCCTGGTACACACGGGTGGGAGCCGGGCAGCCCAACAGTTCATCAGGCCAAACTGAGAAGTTAATCTGAAAGCAAACCGAGTCTCAACAGATAACAACCCAAGAACGAAAGAGCTCTGGCCATCCAGAAGCCAAACCACAGGGAGAGGAGATTCTGGGCGCTGGGGACGGGCAGGGACCACGGGTGCCCACCTCCCTCCGGCCCCCCCAAACCCTGGGGTTGGACACACGTGGATGGAAGGCCCTCGTGGAGATGGCTGCTATGACTGGTTTGCTGAAGAGACGCCCTCGGGGTTCCAGGAGGGACCAGATGGTTAGTCCAGAAGCTCCAGACACGGGCGGCCCTGGGAAGGCCAACTCCCCAGTGCGGAGTCCCCCTGAGGCCGACTGGACCTTTCATGAGTGGACACATGAGCTACACCACGACCATGGGAAACAGAACCCCGAACACAAGAAGTGGCATCGGGGGCCGTGGAGGGTCCACTCAATTCGTCACCCGCAAAGCCCCTTCACAACTCTCGGGAAATAAAATAGAACCTGGGTGATGAAATAAGAGTCTGACCTTGTTTCCCCTGTGCTGAGTCTAGTCGGCCCACTACACAGGCACCGCGTGGAGAGACCTCGTGCCACACACCTCCGATCAGGAAGCCTGGTGCAAAACGGCGGCCCTACACCTCAGCTCAGGGCCGTGTGCAGAAGCTCCGCCTCCAACACGCAGTTGAAGATGGAGGGGCGGGCCATGTGCAGAGATGCTCCGCCCCCTGTGCCGTGATCTGGCACGGGAGCTGCAGCTGCGCCTGCGCAGTAGGTGAGCACCCCTCCCCTGCTGCCTGCGATTGGATCCCTACAGAGCAGCCCCACCCACGGCCTGACCCAAGAGCACGTGCTGTAGAGCCTCCTTCTATTGGCAGGAGGAGCCTTGTTAGGGCCAGACTGAATAGGGTGGGCAATGAGACTCAGGTGGAATGTTAGAAGTGATGTGGGAAGTTTTCTTCCACAGGAGAGACTAGGATGTCCCCAGAGGAGCCCAACCCTGAGAAACCAAGCTGCATCCACGGTCAATGTGGCAAAGTTCTATTGTCTGAGAACCCTCCAGAGTGGGCTTTTTAGCCAAGGGGGAGGTAAGAGAAGAACCGCCCAGCAGCAGCCTGGTACACACGGGTGGGAGCCGGGCAGCCCAACAGTTCATCAGGCCAAACTGAGAAGTTAATCTGAAAGCAAACCGAGTCTCAACAGATAACAACCCAAGAACGAAAGAGCTCTGGCCATCCAGAAGCCAAACCACAGGGAGAGGAGCCAAGGCCAAAGCCACACCGAGATCAGAAGGCCAAGGTCTCCCCAAAGAGAAGCAGGACAAGGGTATACCAGGAGTGATTCTGAACTCCACAAGCTAGGGACCCACACCTGTAGCTCCTAGTGGAGTCACACTAGATGCTTCTTAACTGGCATTCTTAAACCTCTTGCACCTGCAGAGTAGGATAAAACATCCTTCTGGTGCCAACAGCACACCTGCTACCCGGCAGACGGGCGAGCAAGAGCTCTGCTGTTCCCACAGGTGACCTCTGTATCCAGGGGGCACACCTTATGAGCATCTTGCCATCCTGGAAGTGATTTTGTTGGTATGGATTCATATTTTTAAAAATAAAAATGGCTCTGCACCTGATGCTCAATATCACAGGTCCTCCTCTCCTATCCCACCCCCAGCAGTCAGTTACGACACAGGAGGCGGAACCAGCTCTGTGTTACTGAGAGGGTTACTCAATGTAATCGTGGGGTGATATAAGGATTTTAAAGACTAATTTGAACTATAAATTTTACCCCAGGTACTGACCAGACAACCTAAAATTCACTCTATATTTGGTTCCTGTGATTGCAGGGAGTAGGAGAAGATCCCAAAAGTTAAAAAACACAGTCACACCTGCAACAGGGACATAAATCTACCGAGAGCTACATGGAATCTGTAGGGTTTAGGGGAACAAAGTCTATCAAATTCAAAGAATGGTTACTACCCTCCAAAGACAGGACAGTCTTTTCAACAAATGGTGTTGGGAAAACTGGGTATTCACCTGCAAAAGACAGAAGTTGGACCCTTACATTATACCCTATACAAAAAATAACCCCAACTGGGTCAAAGACTGAAACTTAAGAACTAAAAGTATTAAACTTGTAGAGGAAAACATAGGGAGAAGCTTCATTACATTGCATTTGGCAGTGATTTCTCAGATATGGCAACAACAACAACAAAAATAAATTGAACTTCATGAAAATTAAAAACTTTGTGCATTAAGCGACACTATCAACAGAATGAAAGGCAGCTCACAGAATGGGAGAAAGTATTTGCAAATCATCTATCTGTCAATCTATCTATCTAAAATATGTGAAGACCTTCTACAACTAAAAGACCCAAACAAACAAACCTGATTTAAAAAAATTGAGCAAAGGACTTGAAGGCCGTTTTTCCAAAGATATGCAGATGGCCAATAAGCACATAAAAAATGCTCAGCATGATGAGCCATCAGGGAAATGCAAATCAAACCACAGTGAGATGCCACTTCACACTCCCCAGGACAGCTACCATTTTTTAAAAGGGGTGTGTGTAGAACAGAGAAAAGGCAAGGGTGTGGGGAAATTTGAACCCTGGTGCTTTGCTCCAAGAATGTAACATGCAGCCCCTGTGCAAAACACTGCAACAGGTCCTAAAGATACTAAACACATAATTATTGGAGTGGGTCACCATTCCCTTCTCCCAAGGGATCTTCCTGATACAGGGATCAAACCCTGGTCTCCTTCATTGCAGGCAGATTCTTTACCATCTGANACACTCCCCAGGACAGCTACCATTTTTTAAAAGGGGTGTGTGTAGAACAGAGAAAAGGCAAGGGTGTGGGGAAATTTGAACCCTGGTGCTTTGCTCCAAGAATGTAACATGCAGCCCCTGTGCAAAACACTGCAACAGGTCCTAAAGATACTAAACACATAATTATTGGAGTGGGTCACCATTCCCTTCTCCCAAGGGATCTTCCTGATACAGGGATCAAACCCTGGTCTCCTTCATTGCAGGCAGATTCTTTACCATCTGAGTCACCAGGGAAGCCCATGATTACCACACAATCCAGCAATTCCACTTCTGGTTTATATTCAAAAGAATTGAAAAGAAGGACTCAAAAAGATATTTGGACACCCATGATCATAGCAGCATTACAGTAGTCCCAATAGCCAAAAGTTAGAAACAACCTAAGTGTCCATGGAGAGATGAGTGGATAAAGAAAACGTGGTGTAAACATGCCATAGTGTTCAGGCATGACATTCTGATACAGACTACAGCGTGGATGAACCTTGAGGTTCATCGTTGAGGACAATATGCTCAGTGAATAAAGCCAGACACAAAAGGACAAATATATGAATCTGCTTAACTGAGGTACCCAGAGTCGTCAAACTCATGGATACAGACAAAAGAAAGGTGGCTACCAAGGGCTGGGGAGGGGATTGTTGTTGCTGTTTAATCGCTAAGTTGTGCCCAACTCTTTTTGCGATCCCATGGACCGTAGCCTCCCTGCCAGGCTCTTCTGTCCATGGAATTGCCCAGGCAAGAATACTGGAGTGGGTTGTTATTCCTCTTCCAGGGGATCTTCCTGACCCAGGGATCGAACCTGCATCTCCTGCACTGGCAGGTGCATTCTTTATACTGAGCCATCAGGGAAGAGATGGAGGGGATAGAAAGTTAGTATTTAACAGAGAGAATTTTCCTGTCTGAGAAGATGAGGAAGTTCTAGAGGTGGATGTGGGATGATGTTTGTGTAGTAACATGAATGTACTTAATGCCATTGAACTATCTACTTAAAAGTAATTAAGATAGTACATTTTATGTAAATATATATTTTACCACAATAATAAAAAAGGAATTGTACCGTGTAATCAATAGGCCTCCCCGCACTCCCCCAGGAATTCTCTGATCTCTGAATCCCCTAGGCCTGCAGTGTTCTCCGCCCTGGCCCCAGGCATGGAGTGGAAACCCCACAGGGCTGAACCCAGAGGTGAGGGGCACAGTCCCATCCAGAAGAATCCGGGAAAGCTGAGGCCACAGAGAAGGCTTTTGAAATGGGGCCTTTGAGGCTTTGAGACTTTACTCCGCACCGTGACTTCCCCAGAGAGAAATCTGCTCATCCAGTGGCCCCCCCTCCCACTAGTCTGGTTCTCCCTCAGCTGCTTTTCCCTGTCTGCTGCCTCAGAAATGATGTCAAATTCACGTCAGACTGTCAGTCCAATATTGTGCTCAACTCTTCCTCCGTCCTCTTCTGGGGTCTCTGCTCCTGACTTAGGCTTGTGCGGAAGGATTCTAGCGCAGCCAGACCACGGCTTGGGAAGGCTGTCGGTAGGTGCTCCTCAGCACCCACCTCATCCATTACCCGGGAGGGGCTGGGACTGCATCCTGGCCAGCAGTCCATGGCGCTAATGGCTTCCGGCCTATTAGAGGCGGAAGGATTCCAGCCCGTGCAAGGCAGCAGCAAATTACTCATCAACCCCCGTA